TGTAAAGTGTGAAACAAACACCCCAATGACCCTCAGAGGTGCAAGCTGTGAGTGAGAGTGATTTGCATGTGAGTTCAACATTAACTAAGTAACGTTCTGTGGTTGCTTCACATTAAGAAGTCTGGTTGCCTTCTTTTGATCGTTAAAACAGTTTTTATTTGCTGTATTGTGGCATTTTGAGACGTTGAAAGAGAAGAGAGTGGTTGTACCTGTGAGATGTCATCAATGTTGTTCAGATTAACCTCAGTGACTTCCGGGTCATTGCTGAGGACTTTCTGCAGAGCGTCGTCAACAACAGTTGGGTTTCCAGTTGCATTCGGGTCAACGGGTGGAGGAGGAGGAGGTGGAGGAGGAGGGGGTGGAGAGAGCCGAATAGGCTCCGCCCTCTGAGGCTTCAGTAATGTTGGGTTGTTGGTGTGAGCTTTGAGCAGACTCGGATCATTCATGGGTTCAGGCTGGGATTTATTGTCATTCTCCTCCTCTTCCTCCTCTTCATCATCTTCCTCTTCAGTTACAGCTTCCTCCTCTTCTTCGCTCTCCTCTTCTTCTTCTTCTTCATCACTGCCCTCCTTTTCATTCCCATCTTTCTCCGTTAAATGTTCGTACTTTTTCTGCTCTTTCTCGTTCTCGTCCTTTTTTTCATCCTCCTCTTCACTGTCTCCTTGTGTCTCCTCTTCCTCTTCATCCTGAGTTTTGACCAAATTACTCACTACTTAAAACACTGCACTATATTTAAAATACAAATTTGTTCCATTAGTCCACCAACAAAAACAGCACTTACCAGTTTGGGGCTTCCTCCTCCAGTTATCTCGTTCTCCAGCAGTCTCTGAGTCTCGTTCTCCCAGTACTTCATCAGGGCCTCTCTGCTGAAAGTGCCTGTGGGAGTTTTGTCCGTCTGATCTCTCTGTCTGAGGCCTATTGGCACGTTGGCGTCAGGATCAATGTCTGCCAACTCTTTTTCCAACTCGGCCAACTCCTCTGGGCTGAGCGAAGCCAGAAGCTCGTCCTCGTCCACGTCCTCGTACTTACTCAGCTCTCGGCGGTACCCGAAACAACTCATGGCCGATTCTTTACTGGGACAGTCCAGTCAAAATGAAACTGTGGCAGAAACACCAGTTGTTAATTAGCGTGCGAGCCGCTGTAAATCCCAAAAAGACAAAGTAAAGAGATCCCAAGAAAAGTAATGGTCCACCATAAGACTGCTGGATGTCATTGGAAAATCAAAGTCCAGATAAGCTTATCCATACCAAGAGAAAATGTTTCTTTAAACTGGTTCAATTGAAGAGTATTCCAAATAAAAAACCCACTCCAGTCTGAACTGGATTTGTCCCAGTCGAATGAGTTTATGCAAGGGAGACGATGTGTCCCTGTCCTCTGCTCTCTAATCTCGCCAGCTGCTGTTCAGGCTTTAAGAGAGGGATCAGAGGGGAACGTAACGAGTGTAGGCCCCATGATGAAGCGTCTTTTTTTGGGAGTCACTGCCCCCTGAGCTTTAAGGCAGAGCTACAAAAAGCCCGTGAGCTCAGAGGCTCTGCTGCCCGTCACCGAAGCAGTCCGTCACTATGTTTATGGCCAACAACTGGACCAAACACATTCTCAGAATAAGATCATATTTACCGTTTTTAACCATTGGACAGTAAAGACAATTTGATAAACATGCTTAAATCCCTATTTCTGTATTAATCTAGTTTTACTGCTTGGTTTGTGGTTCACGTGAAACATCTCAAATTCAAGTTCAAATCAACTTTATTGTCATTTCCACCGCATGTGGTGCATGAGGTGGAACGAAATTATGTACACAGCGTTCCAGTTACACCCAAAAATAGCAAAATATAAAGTATATTTAAAAAAGTAAATAAGAATTTAAGATATACACTAAGATATATGCTAAACAAACGCCAAATGATACACTAAAAGATCTAAGATATACAATAAACACTAATAATATAAAACAGTATGGTGTAACAACAGCAGCCCGAACAAGAGTCTGTAGTGAGCAGATAGGTATGAATGAATACAGCAGCATGAGAGAATCGGCAGCATGAGATCAGCAGTATGGATAATCAGCAGCACAGATAAGTCACATAATCAGCAGCACAGATAAGT